ACAGCTCTCAGGATCGCGCTGTTTCCTGACGCGGGCGCTCCAGACCCGCCGCCATTTTCCTCCATAGCAGGTATTCTGTAGACTAAATAACCACATCTGACATCTGAACTCTTTTTTTTTAAAAAATCACCAAATTATCCCACAGAATGACCCAAGTTTCTATTCTCGGCCCTTTGGAGTTGTTCTGCTCCTTATTTCCTTGTAGCCTGATAGATTCAGACTTTTTTCCCTTATGTAAACTTTGAACACAGACCAGGCACTGGAAACTTTCTCTAACAGTATACTATTACTTTCTACAATAAACTTTAATGAAATCGTCACTGGTGAGAACATGAAATTAAATGATTTTCGTCAAAGAAATACATTTTAAGAGGCTTGAAACAAACACATGAGGAGCACCAGAGATCAAGAAAGGGAAACTTCCGTATGTTTTTAACGAGACTGAGACTTGCTTCTAGGTTTTGTCACCTAGAACTTCTAGAGATTGCCCTGCCAGTCCAATATTGCTTTGCGGATCACTACTTCTGAACCACGGGCATGGAAGAAAAGAGAATCTTCTATACTCAAAGAGAAAGTCAGTGACTTTATGCTATGACTTCTTCTTTCAGTACTAGAGGAAACCCAGAGAGAAGTAATTCTCTTGATGAAAGGTGATGGTGGCTTTTGCCACAGGAACAAGGTTCATGGAGAGAACAGGACTAGCTACCTAATTTCTTCATGTGTATGGCTTCTTCTTCTTTGTAAGCAATATTTTATATCCTACAATAGTTCTCACCTTCTCCTGTGCAAAGAAGAAAAAGGATATTTATTGACTAGCATTAGATTGTGATCAGAATTATATAAGATTAATGTATAGTTATTGGCAATTTAGAATGTGAAGTCCCATTTAGGATGAATGTAATAGGGAGAACATAGGCTTGAAAGCATGAAATGGAAAGAGAAACATATGTACGTACTTATAAGATAATGTCATTTTTTTTCGAGCATATCCACGAAAGGTAAATTCCAAGAACCTCCATATTCATGGATTGTGTTTCTATAAGAAAACTTTGCTAAATTCTATAAAATGAACTTGAGCACAAGTATTTGGCAACTCAGAGATTTTATGCCTTGACGTTTACATTTGTCATTCAGTTTGCAGAAGCAGTTTGGTTATAGTTGATGGCTTAAAATGTGAGTGCTCTCCCTTGTGGTGGTTGCTCTGTCGCTCCTGCAGCCTTCACAGCATTGACCAAATCTCTACCTGAGAAGGCCTTGAAAGAAGAGGGAAAGAAATGTAAACATGAAAAGTCAGCAAGCAAGCAGTTGCCTTAATCAAACTGCGATATGGACAGTGATGAGAACCTTTCAGAGTTTTTTCAAATCTCTAAATTATATGTAGTAAAATGAGGCTGTGAATACCACACTCAGAATACAGTGGACAGTTAATGATAAAGGCATTTCTCTTCCAGAAATGTAACTGTGCAGTGTGCTACTGGGGTAAATCTAAACTGTATTTAGTGCTCTTTTATTTCTACATTCTCCAGTGTGGAACTGAAATTCATGACACTGGTTGCAGGAAGTTACAAAACGATGTACAAGAAACACTGGTGAGAAATTTGCTTTCAGAATGAGCACAATGGACTGTTTCACATAAACATGTTGGAATATTTTAAATCTCCGTTGACATTTCTTGCTTAAATGGCAATGCGGAGCCAAACAGAGGGCCTGCCAAGACAGGTTAGACTCAAATCCCAAAAGAGAATAAAATGAGAAGTCTTGCCGAATTTAAGCACTTAGCATGGGCAACTTTCCTCACTTAATCTCAGTACCCTGTGGCTTGAACAGATAGTGATCCTCAGGCCTGAGGGGTTATACACCTCCTAACAGGGACAGTGAGGGCTTGAGCACCTACAGTCCAGGCTCAGAGTCTACACTGATAGGTAGTACTCAGCTGAAATCCCACTTAAAGTGAAATCTTACAGAAAATTTGAAAAATAACAAACTTTGATGAAGCAAGTAAAATAAAAATCATGTTGAATTTAGAGCACATGCTGTTGGGATAGTAAATTTTCAGATAATTTTTTTTAGTCCCTAATTGCTCTTGTCTTAGGAAAATATATGCAACCCTAGAAACAATTTAAGAAACAATAAATATAAAGTGAGAACATAAGCATGGACTTGCTCTTAGGAATCTTAACTTACAAAGTTAAGAACTTCAGTTCTGGTATGTAGAAGGTCCTTAATGAATTGTTGCTGAATTTATTGAACTAATATCCTTATAACAATAGTACAAAATGATTATTGGTTTACATAAATATCAATAAAATATTTATGAGCCATAAAAGGAAAAATATATTTAAACATTTAAGAGTATGATGATTTTTGATAAAAGCATAAAATCTCAATGTAGTAGTAAATAATTTTGCTCACATAGGAAGTACCACATTCCCTGGAAATCCTTCAGAATTTCTGTTCAGGGCTACTTTTAATATTGGCCAGTTTTCCCTCTTTTCCTTATTTTCCTGTTTATTGATATGTGTTCCTTCTCCTTGCAGTTCAACAACATGTTGCTATATTGTGTGCCCAGATTCAGCTTGGTAGGATCTAAATTCACAGTTCGAACCAGGGTTGGCATCGATGGAATGAAAATTGTAGAGACTCACAATGAAGAATATCCACATACTTTCCAGGTATCTGGGAAAGAGAGAACACTGGAACTGCAGGCCAGGTGAGAGAACTATTTCTATCACACAGCTTTCCAAAAACATCAGAGTGAACCATAGGACAGAGTGCTTCTGAGGAGTTTTCCCGAGTGAATGCTACAGACCTCTGGGAGTCTGGTTGGATGTAAATGGAGAGCTCTGAGCTCCTGAAACACAGGAGTCATGTCTTTCTGTCTTTAATTCTTCCACAGTGGCTCAAACAATGGTTTGTAGAGACTGTTCAATAAATTGATTGACTCTTCAGAATTATGAGGTACTCAGAGGAAGAAGTTGTTGCAATCAGGCCAGAACCTTGAGACTTGTAGGAAAAGGTTATTTCCTAATCCTTCCACCTTCCATCCCTCCTTTTGGTCCACAAATGTTTATTGATGCTTATTAGTCTGTGCTAAACTATGAGTCCTTTAGAGGCTCTGCATTCTTGGGCCTTCGAGGAACTTGTTCAGAGGAGGCAGGGTGGCAAGGGTAATGAGCCTCCTGCTGCAGATGGAGGATACATGAAATGGGCCATTTGGGGCTCAGGTGGCTTATTAGTCTGTGCTAAACTATGAGTCCTTTAGAGGCTCTGCATTCTTGGGCCTTCGAGGCACTTGTTCAGAGGAGGCAGGGTGGCAAGGGTAATGAGCCTCCTGCTGCAGATGGAGGATACATGAAATGGGCCATTTGGGGCTCAGGTTGCCTCTGGTGACCAGGACTTCTGAAAGGTTTGGCTCTCCTTATATGCTTTATCGAGTAGGAGAGAAATGGCTGGAGTTCTGGCTAACATTCCCCTAGCATCACCACATTTGACCACATTTTAGGGAAAAAACATGAGAACCACTGCTGTAGATCACAGCTGCCTCAAGCGTGAACTTCTGGAAGACCCAGTGCTGTCAGGTTTTGTATTATCTGCCTTAGAAGATGGTCATCCATTTATCCTGCAAAGGTTTAGCATGGTGAAAGTTTGGATATTCCAGAAGGTCATAGACCAGAGGGTCATGTACCAATCCCAGCTCTAATGGTGTCAATGCCCAGAATCCATGGAGAATCAGAGAACCCTTCTGTGCCTTTGTGCCAATAGCACGCAGTTCTGGCTGCTCAGGTGAATTCATCCTGGATTTTTGTACTTAGTAACTGTCTAAGAGCTTAAGCCTCAGACTTCCAAAAGAGAATAAATCATTTTAACGGGAATCCGTGCCCAGGGAGTCTGGGAATTGGTGAGATTACAGTTATGGAAGGTGTGGCAGGCTAGGAAGTTCTGATGAAGCAACCAATTCTTTGATTTCCTGCAGAGAATACGTATGGAACCTCCCATTATTTAGGGAGCAGCCAGGGGACTGCTCTGAAGATGAGCAGGTATCATTTCAAACATGGGTTAAAAAGGTGGAGGACTTGGCTTTGAACATCATGAAGTGGGATTTGTGTCCCAGCCACTCACATCCAGGGGGAGAACGTGTGATGCGGTGCTGGAGGCTCCTGGCATGAATCCTCACTCGGTGGGTGACTCACTGAGTTATTGGCCCTGGCAACAGGGAGCTCTCATCAGTAGTTTTGATCATCATAGATGTCTTCATTGCTGAAGAATGAAGGTGCTGCTGGCTCTGAAATTTCAGCATACTCTCAGATCTGCAAACCTGAAAGATGTGTCTCAGCAGGGGAGACATTTCTAAGGTTTCTTGGTTTGCCTGAATGGAAATTTCAACCCTCCATTAGCAGGTTGGGCTTTTTTCTCTACTGAATGGAGCTGATTAGTGAGGAATTTTCTTAAGTACAGGCAGTCATCACTTTATAACATTCCAATATATATTATTGGATACATTCCAGTTAGTATTGAGAACATGGTCATTCTTCTTGCAATATCTTATTTCCCCAATCTCATTGTTCTAGTTATGTTTGTGATTGTATGATATTGAAGACCTGAATGAGGAGAGGACTTTCCATCTGGTCTATACTGGCTTTCTCAAGAATGGAGACCAACACTGAAGGTCTAAGAAAGTCAATGTCCTGAGGGAACATGTGGAACTAAAAATTGGGTGTATATTTGGAGATATTAAAGAGAATTTCCTTCTGAACCCAACTGGAAAAAAAGAGTTCTGCTTTTCTTGTAATGTATGAGTAAGCCTCAACACTGACCTCTCACATTTGTGCTTCCTCTTCCACGTTCGAAAGGATAAGAAGTATTCTGTTTCACATAGTTTGTATTCCGTGGTTTTCTATTGCTAAATGGAAATAAAATTATAATAATAAGTAAACTAAACAAAAGAGTAAAATAATCTACAATAACTAAAACAGAAAGCATTAAAGCTGTGTCAAGTTTCTTTGTCTGCATTTAAAAGGCTAAAAGCAGCTAGCAAATAGCTGTGCTTCCAGGGCAACAGAGCTAGAGGGGCACAAGGCAACAGAGAAAAACACATTTTTTTTGAGGGGCAAAATTGAAGCTCCCAGGTGGACAATAAGCAGAATCTTCCATTTGACAGACACAGATTCCAGCAGTGTTCCTGGCACGATGGGTGCCCAGTAATAAATTTGCTGGAAAGATGGATGACATCACACAAAGCAACCTCCAGCCAGTCTTATGCATATATTATACCCGTGGGCATGAGGCAGTGACATTCAGGCTGGAACTCAAACTTAGCCCTATCCTTCCCCAAACATACACAAACAAATAGAGCCCACTCTTCAAAATCCCTCAATTTGGAGATCTGCCTAGTTCAGAGTCCACTAAAAAGGATTTTTCA